AAAAAGGCAGCGGATGTACTCCAAATTACAACAAAACGCAGGTGGATTTCGCCGCAATCCTTCACCGAAAAATCCCGGTTGTCGGTGCGCGGAAAGGTAGTCCGGACGGCCGTTGGTGGCGAGCCGTTTCTCTCGTTTTAGGGAGAGACAGCATATAAAATGGCGGCCGCTCCTAGCCCTCGGATTGAGTCTGACAAACATAGAAGGGCTGTGCGTGTGCGCGCTGCTGTGTGTGTGTGTGTGTGGGGGGGGGGGCGTGCGTGTGTGCGCTGGTAGGCGGGAGAGTTTTCTCAGTCGCCACTGAGTAAGGGGAGATACAGGAGCAACAAAAAGGCATGAGGAAGAGAACAGATTACCACAGGAGGGCATTGTCTTCTTAAAAAAACATGATATAATGTTATATATGAATAAATGTGATTGTATATTTAAATAAAAAAAAAAGGTGCTGCTGGTTTTAATCCACTTAAAAGCACAAATTAAACTGTTTACACTGATAATAAACCCCCTTTTATATCATTTAGTCAGCTTATGTTTAAGGGATGTTTTCTAAAAACTGTATAATTAAAGCAAACTCAGTAACTGCACGTTTGTGTGACATTAATTCTGCAATTTAGGTAACTTTTTATATATAATTCAGTCTGTGTTATGTATAATATTTGAACAATCATACAGACTTATATAAGCTTATTTTCTGTACAGATTCAGTGTTTTCTGGTCCCTGATGTTTGACTGTTGCTCTATTAAACTGTTTATATTAACATTTCTTAACAGAAGTGAACCAAATGCTGAGTTTTTGGGCCTATTGTTTATATTTTTAAAGGTTTTCTTGCTGAAATCCAGAAGGGTGGGAACTACTGCTGTATGTTGTTGTTTAACCAGTTTTAGGGGTGTAAGAAAATACTGAAAGAAATCAGAATATTTTGTTTTGTGATATTAGATAAATTCTTACAAACACTGTATTGATTCTTGTGTTTAAACCCCCCCAACAGTTAGATAGCAGTGCTGTAAACTGAAGGCTGCGATTAATATAAATACAGATGCTCACTGCTCTGGTTACATAAAACCAGCTTTATATATAAATATACACACACACATATCTATATATTTATATAGATATGTGTGTGGTGGTGTGTTCTTTGTACTATGACTGTTTTCCTAAATGTAATATATTCACAACGTCTGTATTGTGATACGTATCGATAGATTATTAGCAATAAACAGCCCTGTACAGTTCTGTGTTATTAGTACTCATCATTAGTGTTAATTAATTAATTTCTCTTATATACTATATTATATCCACATTTAAATGTTTTTCTCTATATATATTGCTATATATTGTAATATAATGCACATATTTTATCATTTCTATTCCTATAATGTCTTGTTTAGCTAATTTCCCCCCTTGGATCAATCAACTTCCTGATACCTGGTGTTTTTATGAATTAAGGATTAGATTTGCTAAATAATGACATCAGTAAGTGCTGGCAACGAGTCATTACGCTCCCTGTCTCTATCAGGCGTTACAAAAAGAGGAGGGATAACCCTTTTGGCTTTCACTGTTTACAGGAAGTAGCTGGCCCACCACTACAGACACCAGTACAGCCAGCGGCCACTTGAAGGAGCTCTTGTGCGCTGGTCCCTGGAACTACAGGAGGGGACATTAAAGCTAACGTACCAATATATACACTACATTATTTAATACACACTGGCCTTTAAGTTGCTTCTTCTTTTGGATTAAGATGGTGTAATATTAAACTATATAATATTACACAAACTAACAAGCATTAAATAAGCCTGGTTATTGTTTTTAAGTGTTGATATTTCAGTTTTTTAGTTCTACAAAACCCTTTTATAATGAGCTGTACAAGAGTTTTGTATTAAAATATAGTTCATTTTGACTAAATGATCAAACAACAAGTAAACAAGATTACGTTTGACTGGAAATCCGCCTCAGTCAGCAGAATAATACGACTCAGGTCGGTTAAACTCACATTGTTCAGGTCTTGCTTTACACGCCTCCATCCTCTGTACTCTCGACTACTAGAAATTTGACTTGGCAGCGTACGAGCATTTAAATATTAGGGCTTGGCTGAGATAGTAAACAACACGTATCTGAATGTAACACATTTAGTGACAAATTAAAGTCTGTTTTTACTGTAACAGTGGCCGCTATTACACGTGACACTGATGATATCTGTGTTTGATGTGTCATTCTGTTCATTTGCTTCATTATTTGAAGGCACCTACTATTAATAAACGTGACGTTACAGTGTGGTGGTGGTGGGAGGGACGTATGTCATATTACTCTGAGTTATTTAGAGATCTCTCACGTATCCAACGTGGATTACATTATACAGATATGAGTGCTGGTGTCACTGAAATCACTGGGTGTAACTATCTTGTGTTTTATAAAACGTCTTTGGCTTTTAAATAAACAACCGTTTATCACTTCCTGTTGTTTCTGCCTGGGAACACTGAGCTATAACGTAAACACGCTTATAATAACAGTCTGCATCATTCGTTTAAGCCTTATAATCACTAAAAAAAAGGGTTAAATAAGTAGTATGCATTCAGATTTAGGTTCAGTGCCTCTGATAAGACAATGAGAGCGACTTGCTGTAAACATCTTTTACTGGAAACTAATGCAAATGAATGCATGCAGCTTATTTCCTGCAGGTCTTGCGCGGCCTTTGTGCATTATGAAACTGCCAGAGTAGACATGCATAATAAATATGTAATTATAAATGTGCATGTGTGAATGAGAGCGAGTGCCTGTTCTGAAGTTTATATCCAATTTATATCTACATAAAAAGGTGTCAGGGAGGCAAATGTCAGGATCAAACAGCTGCTGTGCTTTCGTAGTTATCCAGTCAGTTATTTATCCTCGTCTGCTGCACCGGTGCAAACATCCGTCTTCTTGTTCCAACAGGTTTCAGCTTCAGCTCCTCCTGGGGGATTCAGAGGCGCTCCCACACTCTTTATGGGCAATGTAATCCATCCAGCACGCTTTGGTTCTCCTCCCGTTGTTTTAAAATACCTCCACAGGGATGCCCGTCGGATTCCTAATCAAATTCATGTGGCTTCTTCCCGGGCGACGGGCAGCCGCCGGTATCCGCAAATCGTTCTCCATTTCTTGCTTTGGTCACCTCGCAGCCTCGGGATCCGTCAGAAACACACAAAAATAAAACCAAACAACAACAACAACAACTCAGTAATACCTTTAACTCCATGGTTGGAATAGTCCGTTCAGTAATCCGAGGGGCTTTTAGTCCACACGTAGCGATAACACGGCACCTGAACACAAACAGGGTGAAGAAACAAACATTAGTTTAATCCTGTAATATAACATTATAGAATATTAGGGTAAAAACATCTTATTTTTTACATGTTGTGGGATTGTGAGAATGATTTTATTTCTGTTTAACATCTGTTTGAGTCTGAACCAAACAAACATCTGGAGAACAACGTTAGTAGACCTACAGGCTTCCAGACCTTCATTATAACGCTGTTTGTCTCTTATTTTACCTTCATCCAGTGTTGTGGTGGTAAACTCTTAATTTATGCCCCAGATTTCCAGTAATACTTTTGCATATCGAACTTGTGATTTGCTTATTGCACTTGGCTGCACAAATAATCACAATATGAAGTGAAAAATGCAAATCGCGAGAGAAAAACAGTAAAATGTGACAAACAGCGTTATAATGAAGGCGCTGCTCTATAAATGTTGTTCTCCAGATGTAAGAAAACATTTTTATTTGGTTCAGACTCAAACAAATGTCTCATTATCGTTATTTTAATAGTTGTTTTTTGAGTGAAAACTGAATTTGTGATGCAAAATATTGTGATTTCTATCATATTTTGATTAAATTGTGCAGCTCACTGAACAATAAGTGTTTATTATATTATATTAAATAATATTGTGTAATATAAGTGCAGTTTAAGAGCTGTAATGTTGTAATAAAAAGGTAAATATAATAATAATTATAATAATAATAATTATAATAATAATAATTTGTGATGCAAAGATAATCCTTCCTACAGGATCGTGACTGTCAAAATAAAAGCCCTAATAATGCTCCCTGAACAATAAGTGTTTATTATATTATATTAAATAAATATTGTGTAATATAAGTGCAGTTTAAGAGCTGTAATGTTGTAATAAAAAGGTAAATATAATAATAATTTGTGATGCAAAGATAATCCTTCCTACAGGATCGTGACTGTCAAAATAAAAGCCCTAATAATGCTCCCTGAACAATAAGTGTTTATTATATTATTTATATTATATTAATTAATATTGTGTAACATAAGTGCAGTTTAAGAGCTGTAATGTTGTAATAAAAAGGTAAATATAATAATAATTGTGATGCAAAGATCCTTCCTACACGATCGTGACTCTACCAAAATAAAAGCCCTAATAATGCTCCCTGTTTACCCGGGTACCTGCGGGCTCCCTGCCTGTACCCGGGTCCCTGCCTGTACCCGGGTCCCTGCACTGGCATTAAGTGTGCAGCTCTTTGTATCTGAGTGAATAAAGTAGTCTGGCAGTGTGTGTTTAAACTCTGCAGGACTCATTAATCCCGGCTCACGAAGCTAACGCTAGCTCTCTCTTATTTCTCTATCACAGTTATTTTTAATAACGAAAAAGTTTTTCACACGTTAAAGTAATTTAAACCCCTCCAGAAATAATGAAAGTAGAGGACGAAGGAGGGGGGGCTCTGTGTGACCTGCCGTGTGAAGCGCTG